AAGGTGGTGTCTTTCAAGACAAACTTTTTTTGATTCACACCTACAGTAAAACACACACACACACACACACACACACAAATACTTGAAATATAACCTACTACTAAATCCACCTGGAAGGCATTTGATTCTATGAAAGCCATGAGTTTACTACTAAATTCAAAAGAGGAAAAGTTATACAGTAAATTGTACAGAGTTATAATACAAAAAAGCTAAATATAATGCTATATCTGCCCTGTTCCTTCTACTGAATGTATACACATTTATACAGTATCAATTTGTATTTGTCTCTATCTTCTAAGTAGAGAAGATTAAAGGTAGAGAATTGTAAATCAAACCATACTGAAAATGCAAAGTACTAATCAACACAGGTGGTAATGCATTATAATCATTTCAAAAGAGGGTCCAATAATTTATGCAGGACAGAGGATTAGCCAAATGTCCTAATAGGAAATCTGACTAAGTAGATTCAGTTCCTTATTTCTTGGGAGATAAAAATCTCTAAATGATCCTATAGCTTATAATGGGATATAAAATGGCATACACAATAATGCTAACACACATCAATGTAGGGAGAAGCATTGAGTTATAGGAAATTATTATCTATTTGAAAGGCTTGGGCTTAAAAAAAAAGTTCCATTGATGTAAAACAAGAAAAGCATGGTTAGTAAATTGTTGGCCAATTTGATAAGCACTGGCTCAAGATTGAACTGTTTAGAACAGAGCTGTTCATTTTCATGCCCCATCCAAGGCTTATATAGTCAACAACACAGACCCTGTAACCTCAAAGAGTTGAGACAATATCCTCTATTTTTTAAAAGGAATTACTTACTATTAAGGTAACCTCAGGAAGATAGAAATATTAATTTAAATCAATAATATTTTCACAGCTTCAAGCCTTTTTAAAAAATGTTTTGACTCAATGTGAGAATTTCTGTCTGGTTTTAAAATACGTGAAGCTCATTAGATTGGATTTTATTGAAATGTTTAGAAAAATTTGACTAAGATTCTAATCAATGTTTAAATGGTTGGATCTGATTTATTAAATTTACAAGTTTTGGTTTATTAGCTGTTTAAACGGTGTACAAATGTTTAGAGAAATTGCACTTGTTAGAGCTGTATGTTTAATAAATTGGGCATTAAACAAAGAATAAAGAGCAGTGAACAAATTTTTCACACACCCAAATCTCTCAGGCAGAAAAAATTTAGAAATGCCTAGTATGATGCCACACACATAGTTGGTGCTCAATGACTTTTTTTTTAAAAGAAGTTACCTGCCTCTTTCTAGGCAACCTTTTCTCCCATATTTTGTTTTTCTCTCATATTTTCTTCTCATGTACTAATTACTGCCTCAGATGTGGTTTCTGTGTCTTCTAGTCCCTGCTACTATTCACAGTAAATTGAGGATACTCTAAGGAGAATACAGGCATTCTAGACTGAGATGAACTTTCAGACAACCTAGCAACTCTGCCAAACTTGGGCTGTGAAACACTTGATGTACTTTGTGATATTTTAGCAAGTCATGTTGTAATTAACTTACGCTGTCATGCAACTAAAAATTTCTGGGGCTTCCACTGTGCCTTCTAGATTGAGGACAAACACACTGTTTATGCAATTTATTTGACCGTATTCCTCTATGGCTATCACCATTCTAAATCCAGCAGTTTAAGTACTAGTTACATACTGAAAATACAGGAACACTCTTGTGGGGTGAAAGTTCCCTCTAAGATGACTTCATCTGGAATGATTTAGGTTCACAAGGACCCCAATATCTGGAGGTGATCCTGTGGTGATGGCGGCAAGCAGCTGAGGTAGTGGAAGGAAGAACCTCTTGGAAATTTGTCTGCGGTCATATGAGGTGGTAAATAATCGCATTTTGTGGTCTGTGTTAAGCTATAACTGCTTTACCCACTATGGCTTTAGCCTGGCTTGCCATTGTAATTCTGAGACTGAAGAGTTCCTTGCCTATTTGGCAGTTGACCTAGAACTAGCGTCTTGTATAGCGTGGGTATTTTAGACCAGTGAGCACATAGCTTGACACATTTTGTTTCCAGATCATCGTATAGAAGCAAGTTATAAAATATCAAAGACAGGTAACATCCTGATTTATATTATCTTGATTTCTGACACTGGTGTAGCCTCATCTCCCCATTGCATGCTTATCCTGATGCAGAAAATTGCAGCTTTCTATTCCGAGCTACTCTCAAGTCTGTGTTGACTACCTCCTGTTCCTGATCCTCCTATACTAGGGATCCCCTATTCTAGCCATCTACCTTTGTGGCTCAGAGAAATTCCTTCATGGTGTGGTAGAAAGAAAGAGCTATCAAGCAGATGCATCTAAGAAAATACGATCACTGTCATTCCCAATTTTCATTTCTTTTAAGGATGACATTAACTCTGAAATATTTGTAATTTTCAACCAAGCACAGATAACTTCCAGATCTTGAGTGGAAAACAATAATAATGGTGATAATGATGACGACAAGTCTGTAAGAGATGGTACAGTACAGTGGTGAAGCCCGAGAGCCAGAAAACCTATGTTTAAATCTATTTACAAGCCGTATGACCTTGGACAAGTTAGGCAACCTCTCTCTGCTTTTATTTAAAATCGGTAAAATAGGGGTAATTGTACATATGTTCCAAGGTTGTTGTGGAAATTACTTGGGTGTGGAAAACTGCCTGATGCATGATGTGTTCAGTGAACTTCAGCTGTTATTAAAAGCTATTGAAGATGGGTCATATGATAATGTTACATGTTACAAAGGGACTGTGTTAGGTGATCTAAAGTATTCTGCAGAAGTAGGGTTAAAAAAAGATTTGGATAATCTATTTTCTGACTGTTTCTTGTTCTCATTTGTCTTTGTGCTGTGTCCATTAAATCTGATACATTTAATGGCAACCACCTTGCCCATAAAGCCAAAATATTCTGTAATCAGCTCTGCTATACCAATTTCATGAGTACTCAGCTCCTCAGCCCAGAATACCAATTGTGTAAAAAGTGCAGTGAATTCCAATTCACTTTTGATTGCAATGATCTGAACCAAACATGAAACCTAGTTGATCCAAGATGATTTGGGCTTTACAGTTTTGTGCATTACGCTCAAAACAGGAGTATCTTTGAATTTAACATATTCTTCTTTTCAGAAAACAGAATTCTTTTAATTAAAAACGTTTTTAAAAATTTCAGCATGTGTAATTGTTAACACCTGCTATGTGTTACCAACAGATGTTTCTTACTTACCTAAGGGAACTGTTATAATTATTCTATAAGGTTTTTAGAATGGCATTTACCAAGATAGTCGGGAAACTTTAGTTGGTGACTTTGTATGTAATATTTGGCATTTCCTTTCATCTCTTCCCCTATTGCTGTCAGTCTCCACACACCCTCCCCCACGCTGGGCCTTCCAAAAGCAAAAATGTCCGTTTGGGGTACCAAAACTTTTACAAGACTGGTCACGCATGTTTTAGTCTTTGTAAAAAGTTACTGAAATTAAGGTAAGTGTATTCTAAAGCATCGTAATTTTTACTTTTAAGTGTTTTAGCAGCTAATCCTTATAATGTTCAGCCTGGAAGTCTTTTAAATGTAAAAGTACACCTTATAGATAGATAACGTCCTTCTAATAGCTCGGCCTCAAAGGAAGCTAGAGTACAAATGAGAGTTGTCTTTATTTTTCTGACCATTTATAAGGTCATAAGCAATACACCTTCTGAATTCTTCATTTATGATACTAATCACACAATTACCTACAGGCATGTGTTAAATATGACACTGGTTTCAGCCCAATAATGGGCCAATTGCAAACAATGAATAAAGAGAGGCAGCCCCATTTATAACCGCTGTTTCAACAGAGCTCTATTGTAATCATAGTGATCTGAGGGTGACTCATTAATTAATTGATGTTCTTTTTTATTATGTGCTATTGAGTTAATGAGTAATTTGTGTGAGATAATTCTCTGAACACATTGATTACTTGAGATATTTTCTGGGTCCTTCATACCAATGACATGCTGAATAGGTAGAAGATGGTATTTGCTTTTGTGTGCTCATTATTCCTAGGTTTGAGATGAGTCCAAACCAGCGCAGAGACGCACTAAAATGTTCTGATGTCTGGAGGACCCTAAGTCGGCCCAATAGGAGGCTCTTTGAATGCTGAGGGCAAGGCCTGTCACATAGTAGATACTCAATAAATGTCAATTGAAATAATGCCTATATTAACGTTTTGCTCTCTATTGGCCTTAACTTGCATTGAAATCACATTTAAGAAATATCTATAATGGTGTATTTAAGAAACAGTAGTAATCAAAAGGCTTTTGCTAAAATTGTATTCTGTGCTAATGGCCTATTACAATGAACATGCAGATTGTTTTTGCAACTTGCTGAAGTGAACGCTAAACATGTTTGGCCTATATCATTTCAATGAAATTGTTTAAGTGTCTTTGGTGAGAGGAGCCTGCTTTAAGTGATAGTTAAAAGGAAACCACTTGTGCACAGTATGTTTTACCACAGATAAAATTTTCAGCACCCTGTTTCATTGCAGGCACAACATCTCTTCCCTGAAAATGTAAGATTTAGTTGAGGTTTTTTGTTTTGTTTTGTTTTAATTCATTATACGGAAAATAGGAAATCTGAAATTGAGTCTGACGACAGCAACACAGTTCCTTTCAGGAAGATCACTGGAAATTTGTGTAAATGTACAAAATTACACCCAGCAATTTGCTACCTTCCTTTTTGACAGTTTTATTTTTCCCACAAAAGTAAATAACAATAAACTACCTAGCTCAGAGATCTTAAATATAACTTTTGGAGAAAGCATTTGAGGTACCTTGTCTAGGCTTGTTATGATTTACCTTTTGAAAGTAAGTGTCCTTACACACTTTATTCTTTTTTTTCAAGCGGACACAACGTACGCTTTCTAGATATTATCTTAGATTTTGCCAATTAAGTGCAATCAAAGAGTGTAATACCCCTTTTATTAAAAACATAAATCCAGATATAAAAAAAATGAATGAAAGAATCCAGCAGATATTTATTAAGCAAGATGAAAGTGAAATTACAAACACAGGTCAGCTTTTAAACTCAGCCAGCACTCTGGTGGAGTGGAGGTGCCTGGTCCTTCATCATAGGCAGCCTCTCTTAGATGCATGTTAGGAAGGGAGCTTTCAAACTGCTTGAGAAATCAAAGCTCTTTTGGAGGTGTCCTACTGGAGGCATCGGGCAAGAAGCTAAGTGACGTCAGGGCTACACAACACAAAGAGGAAAGGTGACGACAATTCAGGGACTTTGCGTAGTCAAGACAATTAGGTTAGTACTTCAGGTCAAAAATGCTACTACTTATGGGCAATTAGCTATAAAATGACCCATTTCTGTCTGGTTTCACAATTTCATGGAGATTAGAGATAATCTAAAGAGATTAAGGCCTTAATCTTTAATCCAGGTGAGTAATTTTGCTTGTAGTAAAAAAAGCATAAGAATTAATTCCCGAAGGATTTGGGAAAAGAAAAGGCAATAAAAACTTGTTTGGTCTTTGGGTGCAAGGATATTGAACAGCTTCCAGGAGCTAAGAGAAGTTTGTTCCCAATTTACAAGTATTTTGACATATTGATAAACATATGCAAAACCATTTAAATCTAAAAATGATCATTTGAAAAAGATACTGGCAATTACAATTTGACATCCACATGAATTTCAGATACCTCTTAATGGGGGCTCGCAGAGCTGGTTGAGAAAAACCACTTTTCACGGATCCCCTGCCCCCCACCACCTTTTGTTCGGTTTGGGTTTTGATTTTGGCTATGCGAGTCTTATCATGAAAAAGATGTAAGGCTCCAAGGCTAAAATAATGGTTACTTTGTGGGCCCCAGATAGCTATTTTTGAAATTCTTTTTTTTTTCAGTATATCTCAAATCTTGGGGACATGTGACTTGAACACTCTTAACCATGAAGTATTTGTAAAAATACATATCATTCACTTTTCACAGAACTATTTCTGAAAAATGAGAGGCAATATCCAGATTCACATGCATGTTCATAATAAAGCTTGGTTTTAAAACAAAAATCCACACCAGCATTATTTTCAGTTTAATATTTTGGCCTCAAACCAAGAATTCAGGTATCACATTTAATTTTCATCTGCAATGCATCTATTGGCAGGACAAAATATGTATGCAAATAACACCGGGAAATATTGTTTCCTATACAAGTAATCAAAAAAGAAAAGAAAAGAAAAGAAAACCCACAGCACTAAATTTGCTCTAGCAAAAATATGCTTCATTGTGCCTGTGTCAAATTAGATTTGTTGAAAAGTAGTTCTATTACAGGGAGCAGAAGCAAAGAAGCAAAGTGTGAGCAACCCAGAAGAAGGGATCATAGTCTTATTTTTATTTCCTTAATTGTAATTGAAATAATCGGTCTCCATAATTTGTTTCTAGAAACCTTTCTTCTTTATCATCTATCATGTTGGTAAGGGAATAACTTTTCACCTTTAAAACATGGAATGACAGATTTCAGCCTTAAGTGTGATATATATATTCTGAGCGGGTAGCTACTTAAAGAAAGCAGTAAGAGTAAGACATGTCAAACTTTTAAAGTCTTCACTTTTTGAACATTAAAATAAGTGTCAGGTAAATACAGAAAAATATATAATCACCAGTTCTCAGCTCTTTGACAATCCCTTTGTTTCTCTTCTTCTAGAAGATTCTGTGAGCACTATGTTGCTCTGATCAAAAAAGTAAGCTCACCACTCAAATATCATCATAGCTTCAGTATGCATTATCATGGTTTCAGTAGATTTGCACTCAAATCCTTTCAGTGCCAGAAATTTGTCAAGCCATCAAGTTATTAAACCCTTAGCTCTCAGGGAGAAATCTGGGCAAAATTTGTACAAGAAATTTATCATTTTAAAATTATCTCATAATTGTGGTTAACACTTGTCTAAAGTAACCCTTTGGAAAAATTTTACATGATACCCAAAGGCACTAGTTTACATAAGGGGTAAGTGGCTGAAAAACAAAACAAAACAAAGCCATTGTGTAGGTAAAGAGCACACACACAAAAAAAGGATATTAAAAGGATAATTGCTAAGCTTTAAAGTTATTCTAAAAATGGCACTTTTCATGTTGGTATAAAATGAAAGTGCTTTAAGATGAAATTTTTATGCATTTTTAAAGCTGATCTTTAACCCCCTGAAAATCGGGGGTTATAATGAGAACACTGATAGACTCTAAATCATAGTGGCAATAATAGTGGATGTTGCTAAAATGCTTTGTGTGTGTCTTCATTTCTTCTTCTTCTTTTTTTTTAGTATTTTAATGTTGATAGACTTGCTTTATCTGTATGTGCATCATTAGTGAGATTTGCTCTTCAATTCTTTACTAGAAAGTTATAGCTCATTTAAAATAGCTGGTAGATACAGAAAGCATAAATATACAGTAAGTTTAAACACTGATTGTACTAAATGCAACAATACAAAGAAGCAAACAGAACACAAATGGTAACACAATAAAACTGTATTACATTTGTGCTTCAAATATTACAATACATTATATACAATAGTCGAAAATAAACATCTCATGCCAAGTGACACAAAAACGAATAGCAAGCAAAAAAATCCAGCAATATGTACATTACTTTTTTCTTTAATAATAAACATTCAACTCTGAACTGGGGCAATTTCACTACATACAGATGCAGTCCGCCTTTTATTCCATATAACCATCCTGCTCTCCTATATCTACGCTATTCAGTAGGTTCCTGTGTCAATTCTTATATACATGTGGAGCAAAAAAGATAAAAGAATGTAGTGCTTTGTATTCTTAATGGGGTGATGTTGATAGATCAACGAACCTGGGGTGCATAACCTTCTTTCATTAAACCTTCTTCGTAGTCCGTCTGGCAAAGGATCATGTTATTCTTTAGGAAAAATTTGTCTCCAACGCAAAATCTGAAAATATTTAAAAAAATAAAATGTTTAAGATCATTTCACTCCAATCTATAGATTTGAAGATTTCTTTTCCTTGTAATAATGTCACACAGTAATTCCCTGAATTTGAGAGCTTGGTTTAGAGAGTTGCCTTTATTGTCAAAATTAAACCATGTAGGTCATTTAATGAAACATTGCACACAAAATTTGAAATCCTACATTTATATATAAAAAGCATAGGAAAATCGAGGAAAACACCTTGGGCAGCAGAGGTGGTTTTTATCACTACTTTGGAAAGAAAAAAAAATAACTGATCTATATTTACAGTCATTAAAATAAAAGAAAGAATGATAATAGTATTTCACTGCAGTGATTATGGAAGATTTCACCATTGGCCATTTATTCACTTTATTAAAAAAAGTAAAAGGCATTAAAATGTATCCAACAATTAGAAAGAGGCCCATTTTAAAGCTTCCCATTTAAAGCTTCCTTTTACTCTCTGTTATTAAAATGTGATTAAATTCTAGTAATCTGGAAGTGATTGTTCTGAAGGAAAAGTTGTTTTAGCATCAGACTCTGAAGCTGGGCCATATTCCTTTGTTTGTGGCAAGTTCACCAACTATAAAATATTAAATGTCATTTCTTAGCGCAATCCCAATTAAACCAAAGGGAGTAACCTGAATGAACTTCTTAATTTTGATGTGATAAATAAACTAGTTTCCAGTGGCTAATTATGTATTTTATTCTATAAAGCACTGTTTAATGTGCAAGATTGTAATGTTTTTAGTAAGTGCTCTTTTTGTATAATTTCCCAGCGGTGACACTTTGGACACAATTAAGGTCAGAAATAAATGCTTGTGCTGTTTCCAGTACATTTAACAATAAAGTAACTCTGGGGAGATCTGTATATATTTTTAATTGTAACAATTTAACCTTCAAACAGCAGTGTCTAGTAGAGTTGACCCAGTAAAACTACTTGTAATTATACAAGTTGACCTCACTGACCTTTGATAGTGGTCTCTCTTTATCAGATAGTCAATTTCGAATGATGTTCAAGCAGAAATCTTAGTGGATAGATTAAATTGTGTAGTGAAAGCAACCCTTTAATGTTTTGTGAAGTTGAAGGTTTAAATGAGGAGCAGTTGGACTGATTTACATTTGCAAAGATTGGAATGCTAGACACACAGTGAACCTATTTATTTTCCAACTGGGTAGCTTTGGAAATTTATCCTTATTCTAGCTAAGTAGATAGAGGGGAAAATAGTGTAATAAAAAAAAGTAGATTGAAAAGAATTAGCTTTCCTCTTAAAGGAAGATTGGTCTGTTTGTTTGTGGAATTTACTTTTTTTCCCCAGGATTACTGCCTGCTGATGATGTTGATTGAAAGTACAGACTAAGCGCTGATCTTGAAATCCTGGAGTTTGCGGTCAAGGCTATTGGATAGAATGAACATTCAAGTTTGAACCTTAAGTATATCTTCTTTTTATTAGTTGCAAACTATAAACTTTAAATATTGTGCTTAAAAAGTGGTGTGGGAGTAAATGAGGTTTTGTAGATTATCCTGATCATTAAGACATGTTGAATAAAAGGAAATATTTCTTCTGTTGGACAGACCTAAGTAGCCAAATTAGATACTTATCTTTTTTGTGAGATTACATAAAATAACATGTAGGATATATCTGATTACTGTTCAAAACTTTCAATTTATATTACTGTTGTAATTAATTTGAGCTAATAAGCTAATGATAAAATAGCACATAAAATAAAAAAATTCAACAAATACTCTTGTGTTCTAGCTAATATTACTGAGGTCTTTTTTTTCCCTAAAAACCAACTGAATTGGAAATATTCTTTCAACTCCATATTGACTAAAATTTTGCTTCAATTTTCTAGCAAGCCCCCAAATTCTATTCACTGTCAAAAACAAAATTTTTTTTTAAAATATGCTCGACTTGGGGCTTGAACTCACAACCCAGAAATAGTCACATGCTCTACTGACTGAGGCAGCCAGGAGCCCCAAATAAAACCATTTTTTTGGTCATGTGAAGTTATGTCATTCTTACCTTCAGAAGCCTTGAAATTTAGATAATTTTTGTTTGTAGATTAATAAATTCAGGGTAATTATCACGAGAAAAGCTTTGAACCAAGAGCCTGGGGATCTAGTCCTGAGCCCTGATGCTACCCAATGCAAATTATAGGGTTCATTTCCTACTCTCTCTGAGTCAGCTCTGTGTGGGTAAGATAAAACAACTACATCACTGAATTGTAGGGATGTTAAAATAAGAAACATGTGAGAGGCAGAGAGGTATATTGCAACAAATAGAGTTCAAATCCCAACCTTCCACTTATGATACTGAAGATGAAACTTCATTTTTTCTTATCTTTAATATAAGTGACTTTTTATTTATTTATTTATTTTTAAAGATTTTATTTATGTATTTGAGAGAGAGAGCATGAGCAGGAGAGCACAAGCAGGGAGAGCAAGCAGAGGGAAAGGGAGAAGCAGACTCCCCACTGAGCAGGGAGCCCGATGTGGGGCTCGATCCCAGGACTCTGGGATCATGACGTGAGCCGAAGGCAGACACTTAGCCAACTGAGCCACCCAGGCACCCCAGTATAAGTGACTTTTTAAAGTATATGGTGAAGAGTAGAAATGAAGTACGTAAAGCCTTACTTTAATATTTGGAGTGTAGATAATTAAAATAGCCACCTTTTATAAAACACTTACCATGTGCTAATGCTAAGCATGTGTATACATGATTACTTTTATTCCTTATGTTCAACTGAGAAAGTAAATATTATTATGGCCTTTTTCAGATGAAAAACCTAAGGCTTCCTCCCAGAATTAAACAACAAAAAAATTGCCAAGTTTCCATAACTAGAATGTGTATGAGAGAGAAAGGAAGGGGACTCTGGTCCCTTTGGGCTCAAGACCCATGCTTTATGTGGAAGAAGGAAAGCATAAGGCTATGAAGTTAATACAGGTTTTTTGTATTGCTAATATTCCTTTGCATAACTTTAAAAAAAAGTCTACCTACCGTTCAATGAGATGTTGGTAATATAAATGGGACTCATTTAAAATAGTCCTACCTAAAATATTTTGTTGCTAATGTTGTCAACTGGACAAAGTACATTTTATGGGCATTTCAATTTATACTGGAAAGTCAAGACAAAACAGAACATGGGTGAGAAATGTCACACTTACGCATATAACTTAAAACAGTTTTGAAAGCTATGGTTAAAGTAGATTATAACTGCTTTGCGATTAGGATTGGTACACTCCTTTTTTTTTTAAGATTTATTAATTTATTTGAAAGAGAGAGAGAGAGAATGTGGGGGGGGAGAGGGGGGCAGAGGGAGAGGGAGAGAGAAACCCAAGCAGACTCTACACTGAGCACGGAGCCCAACGCAGGGCTCGATCTCATGACCCTAAGATCAGGACCTGAACCGAAACCAAGAGTTGGACGCTTAACTGACTGAGCCATCCAGGTGCCCCTGGATTGGTATACTCCTTTAAGATGTTCCATATATAAACATGAAAAATTAGAGAAACAGAAATGCAGATGTTAGATGCTTAACAAAATAATCTATAACTGATCTTGTGAGAAAGTCTAATTTCCAATGTTACGAGCTCCTTATGAGATTTAGCACTGGCAGAAAAAATATTATAGAAGCAGTGATGGCCAGAGGATACTGTAAGTATATTAATAGGTCAGGCTAAAATTCCTGAAAATAAACTGATAATCTTCCTTGTAATCTAATCCTAATTGCTTGTGGTGGTGTCAGTTCAATTAATTTTGCCTTCATTAAAAAAAAAGAAGTATGTTAAGGAATAAAAAGATGCCCAATCAGATTACTCAGTCATTTAATCTTGGTGTTTTGGAGTTAATAATAATAGATTTAATTTCCAGATATTTTTGGAGTGATTCTAATTGAACTCATACAGTCTTAGAGACTTGAGAAGTACAGAAAATAAATATAATTAACAAATCACCCTTATAAAATATGGGGCTTAGAGTAGTTTTAAGCAAGTTACCAACAGCTTCTGCAAAGCCTCCATTTGTAACCTCCTTTTCACATCCTTTCTAAGGATGGAAATGTTAACTTAGTCATCTTATTTCCCTGAGGTCAGTGGCTATCAATTATAATTAGTTCCCAACTCCACAATACTTTAGAAAGGGTGGGGGGGATCCAGTCCATATTTCAAATGTCTCTATTTTCTATGTAGCATCCTCAGCTACTAAAGATGGAGATTTTGATGCTGCACTTTGTTCTCAATAAGAGGTACTGTTTATATACCCATCGTCCCACCTCTATACGCTGTGAACGAATTTACTCTCTTCTCCCAAAGACTGTCCAGTTGTCATTACATACTTCATTCCTGATTCAATCCTTTTCTGCACCAACTTACACTACCCACAGCCCGAAACCTACTACAAATTATTCAAAGTCTACCTTGCTTTAACTTCATCATATCTATTCCCATTTATATCCACTCAGTCAGAAAATAAAATACCCCTCTTGAAAGAGTCCAGGGCCCTCATATCAGCTCTGAGTCTAGAGACTAAAGCCAGACTGTCTGGGTTCACATTTTGAGTCTACCATTTTCTATCATTGTTTTCTGGGGCAAGTTACTTAAATTTTCTGTACTTTAGTTACTTCACTTGTAAAATGAGGGTAATAATAGTATCTCATTTTATTGAGTATTAAATGAGCACATGTAAAACAGAACAGTATCTGGTGTATGATCATCACTATATAAGAATTCTGCTATCATTATTATTTGTTAATGATAATCTTTTCACCTTTGCTTAAGCCATTCCTTAACCAGGACTATTTCTCCCTTTTTTCCATCTGTTTAAATTCTAAAAATTCTTTAGTTTCCATTCCCTCCATCAATATTCCCTGACCATGCCAACTCATTCTGATCTTTCCCAAAGCGCTTATTTATTGGCATATCATTTAGTTTGGCATTTCAGATTTTCTCATGAATGGGTAACAAGTTTCCCAATCTAGACTGT